TATAAATACAAAAAAACATTCTGCAGGCTATCAGTCACTCTTATGGACACGTCTTGAGTGATGACAGTCTCTGATGAGAGTTTAAGTTTACAGAGATGTTTGTCTCTATGCTAATTATTTCTGAATTGTTACATTTACAATTTTTAAAATATGGTCGCCATTTTTGTCTTCATTCACAGTCAGAGCTAATTAGTTGTGCCTACTTCTTACAAGCCTCTTTCTCATTTTCTTAATTCCGAAGCGCTGTTAGCTAAAAACAACCATTTTAAAGCAAACTGATCTGGTTATAAATACACACACACACAGAGCCTATAGATTCAGACAGTTCTGGGTTTAAATTCCAGTTATGCTACTTAATTTGTGACCCTGTCAAGTTACTTCAGTTCTCTAAGCCTCAGGTTCTTCATCCTTAAAATGAGATTATTACCTATACTGAAACACTGTGGTAAGAAGCAAATAAAAACTTAGCTAAAACATCTTGCAGAGTGCTTTCTAGTACCTGACAATGTAAGTCATCCAGTCAATGGTAATTATTATTCTGTAATTAAAGAAGTATGTTGAAATTATTGCTAAGTTAAGAATAAAATGAATTTCTTACTAGAAACATGCTTTTAATGGGTAAAATTCCTTGGCGCTATGCTGGAGACAGAAAGATGAAAAAGAATATATTATCTCTACCCTCCAGGAGTTCAGAGCCTAATGAAGACAGATGTAAACAAAATCACAGCAATCTGATGAGCAAAACAGTAAAAGCAGCAGCACTCTATGTGAAGTCAAAATGTTTTTCCGGAAGAGGTGATACTTACCCTAGGAGGGTAAACAGGAGTTTACCAGGTTGGGGGTTAGGGACTGAGGTGAGCAGACTTGGTCAAGGAGGTTGAAAGAACACATGAAAAGATCTACAAAGAAGAAACAGGATGGTAGGATCTGGAGCAGAGTGCTTACAGAGAGGCAAGTGTAGAAAAGCAAGCCCAGATGAGATAATAGTGGTCTAGTACACCAAACCAAGCAGGAGTTGGCCCTTTTAAAATAAGCAATGAGAAATCACAGAAGTATTAATATTTTAAGCACAGTGAAGGAGACTGGCTGAAAAAGATTGCATGCTTACATTCATGTTATAAAGAGATCCCTCCACCTACACTGTGTAAACTGACCAGGAAGGGGTCAATTTTTCCTGCTTCTTTCCAGCCTGGACTATATTTTTCTTGACTATAAGAAAATAATCAAGAAAGAAAATATAGTCCAGGTTGGAAAGAAGCAGTAACTGATCTAAAGTAGTGAGAAGAAGAAAGGAGAGTGAGGAATGGATGAGGGAGACTAAGAAGGTAGTCTTGGTAACCCTCAGAAATCTAGGAAAATTTCCCAGTTTCCAGTTTGGGAAAATGGTTGGGTCATGATGCCATTAGTCAAAATGGAGACACAATAGGAATGAAAACAGTTTTTGAGAGGAAAACAGCTCAATTTGGAATTTGTCTGAACAGAGCTTATGCAGTCTGAAACTCAGGTAAGACTAGAATTAACTCCAACAGGAGAACATAAAGGCAGAAATGTAAGACAAAGTCAAAAATAATGTCACCCAAAACAAATATCCAGATCAAAAATGGGGCTATGAATATCTCTTATAGCTGCTCATGAATACCTTATTTTCTGACTTTCCCTTGTTTTCCAGTTGGACAACAGAATTTTATGAAAATGAGACGTTATTTATAATTTGTATACTACTATAAAAGTCTGAATTTTTTTTCACGTAGGTCTGCTAAATATAGATGTTTACGTTTCCCGAAAATTGTGCCCAACTTCTTTACTATCATCCCGAGACTACTAAAGTGTTTAAGACCTGAAAGATGCCCAGTAAAAATGAATGAATTAACTAACTGTGGTCCTTAGGTCAGTCAAGAAGCCAAATATCGTGCTGAAAGACTTTAAAATTGCTTTAGGTATTGACTTAAAGTTATAAATGAACATTTAATGTAGTAATCTAAATTTTTCTCTAAATACTGTCTTTTCCATTTCAAAACACAATTTTCAGTGGTTTGGGAACTGTGAACTGACTTTTCTAAGTTCAAGAACTCACCTAAAACTAATGATTTAGGGATATTCACACTTCAAATTTCAAGAGAAGTCAGAAGCAGGTAGAAAAATGTAATTATTGATTTTTAAAAATACTAATTTATAAAGGAAAAAGGGGCTGGGCCCAGTGATTCACACCTGTAATCCCAGTACTTCGGGAGGCAGAGGCCAGAAGATCGCTTGAGACTAGGAGTTTGAGACCAGCTTGTGCAACAAAGTAAGATCCAATCTCTACAAAAAATAAAATTTGCTGGGTGTTGTGGTGCACACCTATGGTCCCAGCTGCTCAGGAGGCTGAGGCAGGAGGACCACTTGAGCCCAGAAGTCTGAAGTTACAGTGAGCTATGATCATGACACTGCACTCTAGCTTGGGCGACAAAGCAAAGACCCTGTCTCCAAAAAAACAAAAACAAAAAAACCCTGTTTCCAAAAAAAAAAAAAAAAGACAGAGAGAGAAGGAGGAGGGCCATACTAAAATGCTTCTCTTACTCTTACAGGTAGATTCTTATGTTAACAATATGAGAGCTCTTCACAGGAATGTTGAGGAGAGATTTTTAAATAGACTCTCACCCCTGAGAATGATGACTACACAGATCTAAGTGTTTCTTCAGTATTTTCTTTGTACATACCTACTCAGATAGATGCACGTTACAGAAACTCAAAAAGTGAGTGTTCACAAATTGGTAGATGAAAAAGGTGAGTCAATAAAGAAGCAGGGAAGACAGCTGTGGGGCAGAAGAAACTGTAATAAGGACCTGGAAGTATAAATAGGCACCATAAGGGAGCTGAGTGAGTACAAACTTCAGTGCTTGTTACTATTTCTCATTAATGAATTGAAAGATACTTTATGAAATCTTCAAAACTAAGAAAGGATAAAGCTCAATGCTCTGTACATCAGATTACATTACAGTTACAGTCATATCTTTTCAGAGTCCAACTTTCAATACTTCCTTTCGCTTTTTCTGAATGTCAACCCTCCCTCTTATGCACATTTTTTTATATTAATGAAGGACAGGCTATGGTAGTAATATAGGGAAAATAATCAAATTGAACATGATAACCTAACTTAATTACAAAACTAATTGGAAATAAATTAATCCATCTTTATTGGCACATATTTTCTTATAAACTTTTTTTGTGTAGTTGACAATTCTTTGGGCACAATTTACCTGCCTGAATGTGGACCTTGGGAACGTCCTACTAGAAATCTTCGTATGATATGCTTTCACAATTAGATCTTAGACTGAGAGAGAGTGCGTGGAGCAGTTAAAGAGTTTCAGTTTTGGAGTCAGCAGTTTAGTTCTCGCTTCACACTATACCATCTCCATAACTTTTCTTAAGTATCCTGCATCTCAGTAATCTGTAAAATGGGACCAATAATAGAACTTACTTCACAATATTCACAAGGATGACATTAAATAATGTGTCAGGAAAACACTAAATACATTGTGTTATTTTGGTAGCTGTAAGTTCAGTTAGTACTTAATCAATTTTTGTATTTCAAGTATATCAAACAACCTAGGTTCCACCATGACAGGAAAACAAAAGTCCACTCACTTCCAGAGTATTGCAGTGTCCCACCACTGGTAAGTGTACCAAATAATTTCTTCTTTTTAGCTTTTTATTGAAATAGCCAGTAAGTCAAGTTTCAGTCGGCTACCAGATGAGAAGGCAGTATCTAGAAGATAGCCTGTCCTAAAACTCCACTGCAAATAACTAAGCAGGTAAGCAGTATCCAGAAAGTCTAAATTGTAACAGCATTAAATAAAGCAAAAACCATCAGCAGTTTGCCTTACACAATCCTGTAAGTTTAAAGAAACTGCTTCTGGTTACTTGCTTCCTAACACAGTCTCTGAAGCAAAAACCCAGGTCAGGTCGTATTCTTTGAAGAATTAAAATCTAGACTGGGTTCTCACACTTTTAGAAGGTGAGCAAGATGCCATCCGTGGTTGTCATAAAATTATCCTTGCTTTGGAAAATTCTTTTTAGATATCACTAAATTAAAATCACATGTTAAGTTCTCTCATAATTAGAAAGGCACAGTTTCAGGATGGAAAGGCAGACTAGCTTGGAATTTCAAGTTTCCCACTCTGCCACAATGTGGATGCAGTTTTATATTTGGGGCTGAGGTTTGACTTTGGCTTTCTTCATCATGATTTTACCCCCCAAATACACTGCCACTAAACTGCATTGCTATTTACTACATATGCAAGCATTTCAGGTGAAATCAGGGAGAAGAATGGAATAACTGAAGTTAACAGCTTGTTTTAAAAACTATTCAGACATCTCAAACATTCCCAGATGCCAACTGACAGCCTTACCACTTGAAGCAAATATGCATTTGTTGTGGTGGGTGAAAGGAAAAAGGCCACACCCAAAGTTAAGACACCACAGTGAAGTGATATCCAGTTTCAGAATTTTAACTATTGCTATTTTCGGTACTCTTTTCACGGTCAATGAATTCTTTAACTTCACACCAGGCCCAGCGTTAAAAAAAAATGTTCCACTGTTCCTAATTACTTAGGTTACTTCATTTAGTAATAGGTAAGTCCAAGATGGAGAATTACCTCATTCAAAGAAAGGTTCAAACTTTGGTGTAGAAGAGGGCCAAACTCAAATGATCAGTGCGCAGAAGAAACTCTGGATGAGCCAGACAGCACTCCTCCCCTCCCCCAAGAGGCCAAGAAGTCAGGTAGAGCCTGACTGTATTAACACAGCACTTACCTGACACAGAACGCTACCAAGTTACCTGGACCCTTCTTTCAGTTTAGCTCCTCCCTACACGCCCCTCTCTCCTTGGTGCCGCCTCCACCCAGGAAGTCTCTCCCCCCCGCCCACCCCCATCCCCGCAGTCCAGCTCCCATGAGCTTCTTCAGCCACATCTCTAGCCCACCTCCGTGTTCTCGCCTACTCTTCTCATCCCCGCTTACCTTCGCCACATAGTCTTTCACCTCATCCAAGTCTCCGTTTTTCAGGGCCCACATGAACTCCTTGTCGCACATCACTGCAGCGGGGCAGGCCGGTTGGCCGGGCAGAAGATGAGGAGGCGGTGGCAGCAGCAAGCGGACGCCGCCGGGCGAGAGGGAGGCAGGGCCGCGCGAAGCCGGAGAGGAGAAGAAGAGAAGGCCGGTTAGGCTGCCAGGCGGGCGAGGCAGATGGCCGCGGCGACCGTTGGGGCGGGAGAAAGAAAGTTCTTTTGCGGCCACCGGGCCCAGCAGAGCAGGTTCCGCCTGGCCGAGGAGAGGCAGGAACCTTTACACTTCCGGTTCACTCCCCGCTAGGACCCTCCCCCAACTTCCTCTTCCTCTTCTCCTCCGCGGAACGCCCCTTTCTGGGTCCGCGGCGCGAGCGCCACTAGTGCGCATGCGCAGTATACAGGCTGCCGGGAGTCCAGAGTGGAGGAGTGGGCGGGACTGGGAGGCTGAGTGAAGGGGACCCAGGGGAGGTCAAGACAGTGGAGTAGTGGAGGAAGAGTGAGAGTAGTTTCGATGGGGTTATGTCGCTTCTGCACCACCATTAATGGAAAAAACTTTACTTTTTAAAAAACATAATCTTGGAGGGCATCTTGCTCAGCTTCTAAAAATGTACAGTAAGAGTGTTTGATTGGAATTCCTTCCTTCTTGCCTTCCTTTCCCCTCCCCTCCCTCCCTTTCATCCTCCCTCTCTCCATTATCCAGTATTACTGGGCTGAAAACGGTGGAATAACGCTATTCCTGCCCTCCAGGAAATCTTAAACACTTAAAACTACAATGTAAATTGAGCGTGTTAACACTGTGTATAATGTTCTCTGGAGCGAAAAACTTTAGTGTGTGGCAGGGAAAAAAAAAAAAAAATTAACTCATCTTCCTGACCAGCAAATGACGTCCAGGACTAGGAATTCAGTTTGATGCCATAAAGCGGAACAAATCAAACTGTCTAGTACAATTTGCGTTTTTTAAATTTACTGTTTTTAATGGTTTGAAACTTCAGGACTGTTCTGGTGAAGTCAGTTCTGTTCTCCTAGTGTTTAGTTGTAATGCCATACTGCACAGCTACCACCTGAATTATTCCTCACAACCCTAATGATCCAGGCATGCGCACATGAACATAGATCCAATAAAAGCTTATTGGAACTAGAAATATATATACATATATAACTTACTGTTTATATAACTCATATATAATCTATTATTTGTAACCCACAAAAACACATTAACCAAGCTACTTTATCACCACTGCCATGCAGTGTAGGGGTTCCAAACAGACTCTGGAGTCAAATTGCTTAGTTTGTGATACAGGCCCCACTTCTTGCTAATTTTGTGTCATCTTGGACAAGTTACTGAACTCCCTTCTGCTTCATTTTTCCACATGTGTAAAATGGGGATGTCAACAGTGTTTGGAAATTTTTTTTTTTTTCTTTGCTATCAGAATAGCAAATAGGTTTCAAATCAAAAGAAATCCCTCCAAATTTTAACAGCTATCTAGATTGTTCTTTGTTAATTTTACTCCCTGACAATTAGAAACACAAGTCCACATACCCAATAGTGATATATTTCCAGAAACAAATCTCAAAGGGGAGTTTGTTAGGCAAGTCCTAGAATCTCCATCCCTTCTCCAACACACTCCCACCTGTGTGATTTCTGAGTTACATCATGCTGAGAGCTCTTGATTTATATCTTTGGCCGGGTGCAGTGGCTCATACCTGTAATCCTAGCACTTTGGGAGGACAAGGCTGGAAGATCGCTTGAAGCCAGGAGTTGGAGACCAGCCAGGGCAACAAAATGAGACACCGTCTCTACAAAACACAAAGATTAAAAAAATTAGCTGGGTACAGTGGCAGACATCTGCCTTCCCAGCTACTTGGGAAGCTGAGGTGGGAAGATTACTTGAGCTCTGGAGTTTGAGGCTGCAGTGAGCTATGATGGCACCACTGCACTCCAGCCTGGGTGACAAAGCAAGATCATCTAAAAAAAAAAATAAATAAAAAATAAAAAATAAACCATTAACCAGACTTTTCCTATGTGATCTATTCTTATATATAACTTCTTACTCATTTGAATTTCTCAAACTTAACATGTCCAGAATAGGATCTGGTCTCCTGTAGATGTTAAACCTAGTTGTCCCCCACCCATCACTGTAAATGGCGCTGCCAACCACCCTATCACTAAAACCAGAAACAGGGGAGTCATAATTGCTCTTCCCATTCTCAACTTTTCTCTTATTCAATCCATCAGTAAATCTTTCAAAAATACGTCTTAAATGTGTTCATTTCTTGCCATCTTCACTATTACTACTCCCTGCACCCTCACATATCCCCCACCCCTGCCACTGTCATCTGTGTCTACACTGCTATGATGCTATGTGCTGTGATAGCCTCCCAGTTGGTGTCCTATTTTCACTCATCCTTTTCTAGAGAATTCCCCACATTGGGAGTTACTCTTTTAAAATTTAAACATGCACTTGTTGTCCTAAGATCTTTCAAAGACTTCCTATTGCAGGTAGGTTAAAATCCTAACTACTTGATATGGTCTTCAGGGCCTTCTATGCACCGACTGCTGATGGTAGTTGATAGTATCTCCTATCTCATGACACTCCCTTGCCACCCCCATTGTTTCTTTGATTTTGAAATACCTTGTCTTCTGTCAGTTTCAAGCTAAACCAAGCTCATTCCACCCTAAGGCCTTTATGCTTCTTGTTTCTTCTCTGGAATGTCCTTCGTCTAAGTCTTGTTCATTCCGTCTGACTTTTGAGGTTTCAATGCAAACCTTCAGAGAGACCTCCCAGACCACCTACTTTAAATAGGTCCCTCAATTATATAGCCCAGCTTTTCCCCCATTTACAGCACGTATCACAAGTATCTTAGTTATCTTTTCTGTTTACCTATTTTGGTAAGTATTCATGGTGTTAAACAAATAATTCCTTTGTCTGCCATTCTGGGCTCAAGAGAGAATTGCTCTTCCTGGCTTGCAGTTGAATAATATCATGTAACTAATTTTGGGCTATTAGTTATGAGCAGACGTGAAATGAGTCACTTCCAGGCTTGTCATTGTAAGACCCTTCAGAACTCTTTCCTTCTACTACAGCAACTAGCAACATGCAAGATACTGGCTACACAGTTAGTTTGGGTTCCTGCATAGCTACAATGAGCAGAGCTCCCTCACCATCCCATAATCGATATATACGATGAATATGAATTTAACTTTTATTGTTTTCTGCCATTTAAATTGTGGTGTTTATTACTAGAGGAACACTGAACCAATCTTGACTAACACAGAAATTAGTGTCAGAATGGGGATGTTACTAGAACAAAACCTTTAAATAAATGGCATTGGCTCAGTGTCTGGGGAGTACACAGCAAAGGAAGTGATAGGAGAAACTGTAAAGATGGTGATTCATATTCACAGGAGTGAAACCTTTGGCAAAACTCCTGTGATAATATGGGGAAGCTCTAGTAGTTCTAGAGGAAAAGGCCAGAAAATGGAAAGCTGGTGGCATGTATCAGTAACTATTGACTATATAAAATACAGTTACTGGTGGAGGGTGTCCAGGTTCTTGGCACTGTGAACAAAGAATTGGACAAAATGCATAAAGTAAGGAAAGAATGAAGCAACAAAAGCAGAGATTTATTGAAAATGAAAGCACACTATGTAGGGTACGAAGGGGCTGGAGAAAGCGGCTCAAGGACCCCATTACAGAATTTTCTGGGGTTTAAATACCCTCTAGAGGTTTCCCATTGGTTACTTGGTGTACACCCTATGCAAATGAAGTATTGGCCTATAATCTGTCTGATTGGTTGCAGGAGGGGACCAATCAGAGACTGAAGCAAAGTCACAGTTACACCCTATGCAAATATCTAATTGGTTGCAGAAAATGACGAATCGGAGGCTGAAGTGAAGTTACAAAGTTATACTCCTATGCAAAGGAAGACTTGGCCTGTGATCAGCCTGATTGGTTGCAGGAGGGGATCAATCAGAGGTACTTACAATTTTTTTATCAGCCACCCGGAAAAGATGGAGGTTGCAAAGGGAGTAGCCTTGAGTCCTTTCGTTACTTGGGCGTGGGAAGTTGGGGTTTTCCTTTTGATTTAGTTTTACGAAGTCAGTGTGAATCAGCCTTAGATAATTAAAAAAGATTTAATTAATCTCCCTGCCTCCAGACCCTATTTTCCTGCCTCAATACTACAGGAAACGATGAGTTCAGAAAATAATTGTCCAGCGTGCAGTTAGGAATGAAAGTGATTATAGGGCGCTATAAACTTGGAGACATGCACGTTTAGAAGATGCAAGTGATTCTCATTATTATTCATTAAAAAACAAAACTGAGATGAGCAACAAAGGCTGATTAGAACTCAACCTCTTGGCAAGGATCAAATTACGGGTGTGATAGTCACACATGTGACTAAAACCTCCATACAGATTAAAGTGGTACCCCAGAATCTTTTCAGTTGAACAACATGGCACAGGTCTTCCCATGACAGAGCTTGATAGATTCAAGGTACCTACAAGAATGAAGTAAAAGAGAAAGTTGTGACTTAGTACAATGGAGACACACAATCAAAGTATGTAGAGCTAGCTTGAATCAAATATGGAAGAAGCTGGCTAAATTTTTGAGAGATATGCCAAAATAGCTATCAGTCAAGACTAAAGGAAATTGTAAATAGACTCCAAGTGGGAGTGGGTATTCAACCTTCTGTGGACAGGGAGTTGTCTAAGAAAGCTGCTCAGACTCTAAGGAGAACACATTTTCCAGTGCTCACTTAAGATAAGGACAAGGAGGCCTAGTATAGTGGCTCACACCTGTAATCCCAGCATTTTGGGAGGTCGAGCAGGTGAATCACGAGGTCAGGAGTTTGAGACCAGCCTGGCCAACATAGTGAAACCCCGTCTTTACTAAAAATACAAAAAATTAGCCAGGCGTGGTGGCAGGTGCCTGTAAAATCTCAACTACTGGGGAGGCTGAGGCAAGAGAATTGCTTGAACCTGGGAGGCGGAAGTTGCAGTGAGGTGACATTGTGCCACCGCACTCCAGCCCAGGTGACAGTGCAAGAATCTGTCTCCAAAAAAAAAAAAAAAAGATAAGGACAGGGATAATGTGGTGTAAACCCAAAAGTATCTGAGACAGGTCCTCAATCAATTTAGGAGTTTAGAGAGAAAGAAAACAACGAACAAACAAAAAGTGAAAGCAGTTTTGGAAAACTGACATAGGCCATATTACTCTGAAGTCCACACATCAGTAGGCAGGTTAAGGACATACCTGGAACAAATGAACATGGAATCGCAGAAACAGTCTGTGGTCTGTGCCTTTCTTCAAAGATGATTTTGAGGGTTTCATTATTTAAAGGGGAAAGGTGGGCTGGAGGAGAGAAAGGGAGGGTATAGTA